ATGGTTAACACTTATATTAATGATGTTTGTATGAAACCAAATATTAGCATAGTCTGGTTTTAAAAAAAAGGATTACTACAATTTGAAGCAGGGGCTTTAGACTGAAAGCTTGATATAATGAAATGCATTATTTTATGCTGTTATGTTATGGGTTTCAAAAGGGTCAGACTTTCTGTATTTTTGCTAAACAGTTTGTTATGGAAGCTAAGGTTGAACTTCCAAAAATCAAATGAAAAGCACAGGCGAAATGAATAGAAAATTCAAAAGCGAATAAACGGGCCAAGTGAGGTACAAGGATTGAAAGAAATGTTGATGATTAATATTCCACATTCCATATATAACTTGAGTGAACCCTCACCAGTAGAAATGCTCCTCCACCATCTTGGTGATGGCGCGGGACACAGCCTTCTCCTGCGGCGTCAGGCTCTTGTTGAGGCTCACGCCCAGCCGCTCCTCCAGGTAGTCGATGATGAACTCGGTCCCAAACACCTGCTCCTGGTTGTACTCGATCCACGGCATCTTTCCCTGTGGTGATAGCTTCCCATCAAAGTAGTTCTGCGAGAGAAAAGGGATTCAGGAGAGAAGACACAGAAAATAAAAACAGAGAATAGACGTGGTGATTAGCATTAGGTAAATACAATTTGAATTGAATAAAGAAAAGCATTTGTTTATCCCTTAAAGGAACCACAGTGACAGAAGCAACATAGACTCAGAGTTGGAAAATAGTGGATCACAGCAAAGGATTCATTCCTTTTCTCACTCTATAAACTCACACCATTAGAGAGTCACTTTAGGAGAATCAAAGACAAACAGGTGAAGTAGTATTTCAGATGGATAACCACAGCGGTACCTGGTAGGGCAGGTCCACCATGCGGAGGTAGGTCTCCATCTTAAGGCAGAAGGGGGACAGGGACGGGACGCCAGATTTGGGCCTGGAGAACTGGTGGAGTATGATGGCATCTTTAGAGTCCAGCTCTTCCTCCTTTCTGCGTGGAGGACAGAACAACAGAGCTGTAGATCATGCAGAAGAGGCTCGAAAACATTAACAAACAAAACATGTGTATGTGTTTGTACTTTGAGGAAACATTATTCTGTTTACAGTCAGATTAAGGTAACTTCAAAATAGGGACAAAAAAACACATCAATAAAAATACAAATTAGATGACAGGGTTAGGTTTTACGTTAGGTTTCTCCATTCTAGTGGTAATGGCTAGACCTGCAGGGTCTTATACTTTTCAATAATAAATAAATATAATAATCTGATAATTGTTGAGATTATTGGATTTATCATTTGAATGAAATAATGTCACAACATTTGGAAAAAAGTCTATTGAATTATTTTGCAGTTTAGGTGACATCTTGTAATGTCTAAACATATTCATTTGACTATTACAGAGAACTAACAGCCAGCACATTTTCACATTTAGAACCAGAATAGAGACTGTAAGCAGTGAAGCTGCTTCAAACATTACAACCGATAAATATCTTATCAACAGAATCATTTTGGGTGCAGTGATTTATCAGGAATTTGACTGATTACTTAAACTCTACTAAAGGCTAAAGCAAGGCTAGGCAGGCATGATCACACACCAGCCAACTACCCTGAGAATCTGTTAGGACATTTGCAACCCTTAAGTATAATATCAATTTAAGAAGGTCCTGCATTATATATGTATTCATTGCGTCTGTTATATTGGTGGTTACATGGTTTATTATTTCCCCATCATATGATCTAAAAATGCCACAAATTAAGTTTTAATCAGAACAGTCAAGTAACAGGTGGTACTGAAACTACTCTCACATATATCTATTAAGCCAGCAGCCAATTAGCTTAGCTTAGCATTATGACTGGAAAAAGGAAGAAATTGCTAACCTGGCTTTGTCTACCAGTCACTAAATCCATCATTCAGCACCTTTAATACATTAACGTGTTAATGTTAAATATATAAGTGGTACAGTTTACAGTATGTCACTTCAACCTTTCAAAACCCCAATGCACATGTGTGATTGTATAGGGGTCGGACCATTTCTTGGCCCGCGACTTCCTGTACCCTCTGGTGTAATGTCAAAGAGCCAGGCTAGCTGTTTCCCTGTTTCCATTGTTTATGCTAAGCTAACCTGTGTGGTCAAATAGTGTGCAGTGAATAAATCCAATTATCCGCAACCTCCCATGAGTGATTGTCAGCCCCTGGGCTGTATACACCGGCCAAGGGAGAAACTGCAGTGTCAAAACAATGCATCACACCCTCATGAAGGATTATGGTGCATCGACATGGATACTGTTGGGGGCTACTTCACGGACAAGGGCAGTGGGCCCTGCAAGTGGCAATTAATTCATGTGTGCACAATGCAGAATGAACGGGAGCTGTCCTGTGTGAAGCGCTGAAACCTAAAAACAAGCAGCCTCAGAGGAGAGGAGCTGTCTATTGCAGCATGGTGCTGAAATGCATACTCTCTTTAAAGGGGCTGCTTTTGGTGCAATAAAATGACGAGGGTCCCATACAATGAATCATAGCATAACAGTGAGGGACACAGCTTTAATTGTTAACGTCAGGCAGAACCAAAACAAGCGAGAAACATGACCCAAAAAGCTGGCCTGCCACCCTGTATGACCTCCATCAGAATGGGTTTTTAACTGCACCACAAACAGCCTCCGTATACAAATCGACCCAGAATAAATGGCAGCTATAGGTATACTGGTATAATGTATGTAGGGCCTTCACACCACAATGTCATCATTTACATTTTCACAACGAGGCTTCACATTGATCGTCAATGACATGTGTCTATTTTGTTATTGACTGTGTTTTGCTTGTTCGTTCGTCAACAACAGTGGGCCTGGACTGCATGTAATCCGAGCTCTTTTTTTTTTTTAAAGGACAGCATCCTAAAACCCTTATTCAAACAAATAATAAAGATAAATACATTCATATGGATCATTTGAAGGCACCATAATCTTGTCTGACCGGTGAATAACCTATGTATGGGGCTTAGGGTTTACTTTTACATATAACTGCAGTACTTTAGACTGAAACCATACACCGGAACGTGCGTATTGGGGGGGGGGGGGTCACAATAAAAATTACACAAGATGAACCTATGTCGCCTCGTCCTTGAGATACATTGAAAGTGACCCCCTGTCAGAGTCTATTATGTCAGTTCATGTTGCAAGGGAAGTGTTAGAAATAGGCCTACAGACTAACCTCTAATAAACAACATAGGAAATAAGCAATTGTCCTTTTGTAAATACTGCAAATAAACGCGAAATACAAAGGGTGACCTTTGCCGTATAGGTCGCTCGCCATTTGACCAATCCACAACGAAAAGCCAATACATAAAGATAATGTTTTAATGTGTGTGCTGGGAGATGGAGTTACGTTACATCACAATCCACCCACTCACGATTCCTTATTCTCCACTGACTCCGCTCGTTTACCCCGCCCACATTAAGTATTATCAAACCACAGAAATAATACAGCAGATCTGGGATATTTGGAGTGAAACACGAACAGAATAACATCAACACAGTCTGAATGTGGAGTGTGGGTTAAGGTGACCCCTCTGTCCCCCCTCTCTGGTTGTGTTGTCGGTACCTGATGGCCAGCAGTTCGTGCAGCAGATAGGCAGCGGCAGCCAGCAGAGCTCCTCCGGTCAAATAAAGCGTCTTTCGCCACCACGAGTCCGAGCCCAACGCTGACATGATCCCGCCGTAGTCCTGCAGAGGGTAGGCGATGATGTACCCATAAAACGAGAGCTGCTCATCGGAGCCCAGCAGGCCTGAAGAGAAGCTCTGGCTCTGGCCAAGATCAACCACACAAGATCGCGTCCAGGCAAACCCGACGCGCCAGTACATGCTCTCTGTCTCCGGCCACTTTCCGCCTCACTCTGGCAGCTCGGGGCTTCATCAGCGGGGGCTTCATTGGTGCAGGGGGGTGCAGGTGCAGGACGACTGGAAGAGGAACGGCCGACTGGACGCAAGCGGCCCGCCCGAAGCTTGTCCCCGCAGCGGGGTTGACATCCTCCGCAGCCCGCTCAGAGTCGGAGCTCGCTGGATGAAGCACTCCTTACAGAAAAGTGAACAAAGCTTCCGGTGGGGTCTTTCAAAAATAAATGTCCATCATGCGTTGCAACATTTGAGAATAACAACCTTCCCTGAAGTGTAAGTGGACTACTAATATTTAGCTACAAGGGCCAAAAATTACTGAGACCTCAAATAATAACTTATAGCCTAACACAACACAAGATAGGCATGGAAATGTAACTGAAAAGCATACAAACATATTAATACATAGCAAAGAAAGTAACTGATTTTGGGTTATCTATGAGCAAAGGCAGTTTATAATATCAAAAAATGTATACCCTATTCGAATAGCAAAAATACCCCCAATAGTAGCACATAGATTTGTCTAAGCGCTTCGAGATTTGTCTTGGAAGATGAGAAGCGCTATATAAATTAAATGTATTATTATTACGACATAACACCAATAAAGCTTCCCCAAATATTGAGGATTCATATCTCTGGGGGGATACACATTTTTTCCATTGGCTGTGGCACAAGTGTTACACATCTATTTAGTTTAAAATGTATTCACCCATAAGGCACTTATCATAATACACTATCCATTCATTGATGTGTCAAACTGTCTTCCATAAATAAGACCAACCAATGTATCTCTACAGTTTCGCATTTAGCTCCTAAATCTGTCAGATGATCGATCTTGTTTTAGTTTCTCTCTCCTATAGTAAAAACTAAAATATGATTTTATTTTGAAGGAAAAAGGCCCTGGCTTCCGGTAGAGTTGACGTTTTTCTCTTCACGCAGGTAACGTGACGTCACGAGGACAGGCTGTACCCTGGCTGTACCCCATGGTACAAACACCTAGAGGCGACAACAGTAAACACATCTTCTATGTTTTTCATTTAATGTTTTCTTAACCAACATGATACAATTTAAAATGTATTTTGTGCAGTATGCCCACTTTAACTCCCATTGCTCTGTTATTAAAAATATAGACTTTGTCTTGTCCAAACTGATCTGCAACATGTTGGGTGTTCTTTGTTTTTACCACTAGGGGTCCTACCACAGCCTCTGTGACATTGAAGTTAGGTAATGGGACTGAAGCTGAAGAGGGGTTTTGTAACATGCTGGAAGATTCCTCAAAGTCCAGCTTGAACAATAACATTGAACGGCTTTGTTTTGCACACCACACTTTTATTACCATAAAGGATCTTCAAACAAAGACTTTCAAGTAATACCATTTTGGGCACTGTTTTTACCAGAACTAATAAGATTATTTAGGTTTGGTGAAGCCCTTTACATTTTCACACTCATTCCCTCGTGAACAGTCATGTAACAGATGGAGCTGCTGAGGGGGAGGAAAATACCAGAGGGCAAAGCGGAGCTGAATCCAACTTTCCCCAGTGGCTTTTTGTCTCCTTCACTCAGTATGAGAAAATGGCGTTTAACAGGTTTTGGTACCCTTTCCGTTGTTATTCCAATGGTTACAAAATGAAGTGTACAGTAAGCTATTGAGGAAAGATTTGAAGATACACCCACACATTGCAAAAACATCCATCCCTCAAATGCATTTAACAGCGACAATGTGATTGTATGAAGGTTTCTTGAGTTACCAGCAGCTTTCATTTTGTAAGGCTTTCAAGCACCTTGTTCCGAGGACAGCCACACAAACTCCCGCTGTATTATAATCACAAAAATATAGACACCTACAGGTATATTCACACATCAGTTTCCACAATTATTGAAGAACTAGTTGGCAGATTTGAAAAAGAAAGACAAATCTAGAACGATTGCATCAAAACAAATCTCAGCAGTTAAAAAAAGAAAGAGCAATTCTTTGACGAATTACAAACAAAAGTTTTACAAAATAGAACTTTATGCACAACACATTATTTTACAGCTAAAGAAGAGTAAAAGAAAAATAATTACAATAAAATTAGATTTGTTGAAAAACAATATCATGACAGTGACAAAAAAGGGGCCACTTTTATATCAAGCACTAGCACAAAGCTAAACAAGCCCATGATTTCCATTTTATTCTCCTCAATGAAGCCAAAACCTAAGATGAAATAAATGAATAGAATTATAAAGGACATTTACAAAAGAGAAGGGGGAATGGGACGAAGGAGGTGGAGCTGTCGTGATTCAGAGAGTTTATTATAACCACTACCTGTCTTGGGCTTTTTACTGCTGTAGTTCATGATCAACTAGCAGAGACCTTACAGGGTAGCGGCATCCAATCAGATCGCAGTTACACAGGGGGATAACCAATCAGATCCACACAGGATTAAATCATTTTACAGAGAAGACAGCTAAAGTCCACACACACACACACACACAGCACTTTTGATCAAGTATTCTCAAATCCCACAGAGCTCCATGAGAGGACTCGCTCCTCGGGTCTGTTCAAGGATGTCAGGATCATCACAATGACATTAAACCAGCCCTCTCCCCCTCTCCTCCCCCCCTTACCTCCAAATGTTCCTCAGTTTTAATTCAAGTCAGGAGCAGAATACAAAGTCTCCTCGAGTCGAAACTGCTGTCCCAGATCGTCCGCTTGCTGGGGGCATTTCAGCTTCGTCTGCTCGCTCTATCCATTCACCCATTATGCTCAGAGAAGGGGAAACGCGAGCACGTGGCTCTCAGAGTTTGTTGCTCGAAGCACCACAACATCGCAAAGTTTGTGCCGCGCGACATTTTGAAAAAAAGATCCACCCCCTCACTACCGTCAACATTATGGATTCCAACCGACGTGATGACGCTAAGACTGGCTGTAGGAGTTGCTTTGGTTCCCATTTGAGCTCTGGTCACTCTCACTGTATAAGACATACGGAGAAAGGTTGGGAGGAAATGATTACATACAAGTCATTAAGATAAAGTACAACAAGAGCAAATGTGACAATGACAACACACAAATGCAACACCATTTGGGATCTTAACTTCTTCTATTATAACTTTATTGTAAAGCACAAAGCAACTTTTGAAACTTGTGTAAGGTGCTGTATAGGCAATGCTAATATAACTATTATAATTTGTCTAATTTGGCATATGCAATGTAGTTGTATAATGTTACTCTGACACCAGGTAAATGCAGCTTTATGTTTAAGCGTGGTAAAAAATATTTACTATACTTAATTTAATTTATAAAGCCAAATTTAAAAAATGTACTAGGACTATACGAGTCAGGCTTACCTGTTGGGGGGAGGTTTGGGCTTGGGCATCTTGTTTATCACCGCAGCTATCTCTTTCCTGTCGTCAAAGTTTTTCCACTGGTCATAAAGCTTCAGGATGACGCGGATGATCTCCAGGATCTTGACAGAAAACACACAAAGACAGAAGTCAGCTTGTGTGGGTCCATAAGTTCCTGTTAGTATTGTACAAGGATGTTTATTAAAACGGCTCCAGATTCCAGACCCGAGTTCAGAGTGGCAGTCAGGTTCAAATGGTTATATATAAATAGATAGAAGGTCATTTAGGAAGTATATGATAAGTCTATTCTCTGTCTATTTGAAATTCCTAAGCCCCTATGCAACTGTTTATTTGTGTGTGATTATTAGGCCACGGCACTTAAACGTGTTTGTAAACCGTCAGCAGGAAGCCAGACTGTGGCCAAAGTTGTAAAAATGACAGTGAAGACAAATGTGCCAACCTTTTACAAAAAATAAATGAAATTCTGCAACACGGACAAACTGATTTGATCCAACGTATAAACAAACCTGTGGCATACAAGTCACCTTGTTCTGTATGAATCAATAGAGATGATTAACTGGGAATAACAGATGAGTCACTTAGAAGTGAGAGGTTGCATCTTTTTCTGTTAAAGGGATGGTCTGACATTTCTTGATTCAGGGTGTTTATTCATCTTACCCAGTGACCGTTTTTAGAAGTGTCGTGGACAAATATTAGTACAGATCTTACAATATTTAAAAGGGAGTTTTTTTGACTGAAGGCATTCTTACTTTGTCCATGTCCACAGAGAGCTCTGCGAACCACTGCCTGGCGTCTTTCTGCTGCACCACACAGGCCACATGCAGACAGGCTGAGGGAGGAAGAGAGCCGGCCATGTTACATCTAATACACCTTACTTTAAGTCAGTCACTGCATTCAAAAGCTGCGATAAGGAAAAACATGAAGTTGAATCTCACCCAAGGCGATCATGAAGGGAGGGTAGAGCAGACACAGATCCGTCCTGTACGTGTCGTTCACTATTCGCCTGGTTCAGAGAGAGAGCAACAGACACTGAGTGAGCCTATCACACCAGCTACACCTGGGATTAAAGGTCCCCGTATGATACTGCTGACTCCCAGCAGCTTCTACTGAAGCCTTCCGAATAAATCGCCAGAGCGCCGACACCTCCTCATCACTCCACCGCTCCCATGTTTTTCTTTGTGTTGCCATAAGTTATTCTCTCTCCGTTGGTGCGCGGGGCTAATGCTAATAATGCTACAAATAGAATGGCGGCTTCACAAAACTTTTCAGAGTTTTACGGGGCGTGGTTTGCAATTCGCCCAGCCAATCAGAACTGGGGCACTTTTTCCCCCCAGGATAGTACCACCTCTCTAGCAGGCACTAAAAATGGGGGTAAAAGTTCCCGGCACTCAGTACTCTTTTTGGTGTGAACGCAACATAAGGGGTACTAACGGAACTAAAGGGGAAAAGTACTCCGGTGTGAACGCGGCTATTGTAGCATCCCATAATCCCCTCTGTTTCAAAAGTGCTGATTCTGTGTCTGTTACTTTAGATGAAAAATAAATCTATCTGCAAGATATTTGGTTTAAAAACCCACAATGGTGCTCTAGGAGGAGATTCAGGTGATAAGGTGGGGGGGGGGTTACCTTGGTTGGTCATTGGCTAATGGTTACACGAGACAAAAAAACGTTATGACATCATAAAGTGGCCAAAATCTGATTTTCAGACAGGTTTTTATATCAATTGATCAGGACAAAAAGAGAGAGAATCTTTTTTCCTGAAACTTTCAGAATC